CATCTGTCAAGCTCCAAGAGGCATGTTTCTCCCAGATGGTATGGACATTAAAATAACTGCAGAATAACTGAAGCCGGGACACGGCGTCTGGGCTTTCTAGGGGAGCATTCCTCACCTCTTGTCCTGTGCATTGAAGGTCAAAGAACACTTTGGCTGCATTTTCTCTCTTAAGTGACAAATCAAAGCAGAGGACAGACCACCTCACTGACTTGTAGGACTTGTGTTTGAACCTAAAAAACATCAGACTGGCAGCTCAGACAGGGAGAAGGATATCGCATAACGTCAGATGAATGGAAATCATCATCAGAAAAGAACCCTGGAGCTCTTGGACACTAAACTTGAAGATGAACACTGGGAGCATATGTTTTGGTCAGATGAGACGAAGCAGCATGCGTGGACTACCACAGAGTATAGATAGCATTCTGAGCACGGAGGTGGCAGCATGATGATGGAGGTGCTGTCAGACGACGTTTATAGACGGCACCATCAATACCTGTGGATCTACCACAATACTGTTGGACAAGACGACTCCCAGGCTTCAGAAGCTTGGCAGAAGAGAAGTACTCCAGCGTGACAACGATCCGACATACGCTGCCAACAACCACACCAGAGATTCTGAAGAAGAACAAAGTAGGACCTCTGACCCGGCCAAGTATGGTGCCTGACTTGAATCCAATAGAACACCTCTGGGGTATTAACAGACAGGCAGAGCAACACAACCCCTCCAGCAAAGAGCAGCTGGGAAAAAAAGAAGACAAAAGTCTCTGAGGAGATGTGGAACATCTCTACAACACTGGTAGCCTCCATGCTGAGCGTTCTCTGAGATGTTCTGACCTTTGTTGCACTGAGTTCCCAAAGTGGGGCTGGTGTTTCTAATGTAGTGGCTCTAAACTGTGAGTTCTACATAAAACAAATACGCTACTGTGGAGGTGATGCACCCACTGAGCCAATCCCAGTGACTGCACCCACTGCTGTGTGGCGTAGGAGAGCAGCAGCGCAGCGACCAGGCTGCAGCACGGCGACCAGGCGACCAGGCGACCAGGCAGCCAGGTGACCAGGCAGCAGCGCGGTGATCAGGCCACCAGGCCACCAGGCCACCAGGCCACCAGGCCACCAGGCCACCAGGCCACCAGGCAGCAGCACCACTTCATGGCATTTCATTCTGCACCAGCCTACAACATAGCATTAGTAATTAAATGACTAACTGTAAATGAACTCATATTCCAGCCCAAACTATAGGAAAAACTAAATGCAAGCTATTGATTATAATGACCTCCCCTAATGAAGGCTGTCACGCCGCCCACCAGAACAACGGGCCTCCGTACAGTCCCTCTGTGGAGGACCCAGCCAATGTGTGTGCATGTGACAACAGAACAGCGCCCTGTTGATTTAGTTCCCCTCTCCTCAGGGAGAAAGTCTGTTGTTGTCTTCCAGAATAC